AAACAAATTCAGAATTCATGGGTGAGGAAATCCCAGATACAGGTATATATCATATGAGAAAAGGAAGTTCATGTTTAATAAACTCTGTAACTCTAAATTGTTATTCAATACAGTTTGTTAATTTCTCTCCATTAGTTTTGCATATTCCATTTGTGTGTGTATATGTGTTCATGTAAAAGAGAGAAAAAGGAAAGGAACTAGAAACATGGAAATAAGAGAGAGACAGAGACAAACACAGTCTTTGGATGTCTTCTCAGGTTTCTGGGTACCAAAAAATCCAAGGATCTGAATTTCAATTAGTTTTGCTTATTGTGATATTTAATCTGCCATGTGACATAGAAGCTACTAAGGTATCTGATCAGAATATCATTTTTATTAATATATCAAACTTTATATCTGGGGTATACTGTCTTTTGCTCATCTGCAAGAACTTTGTCACATGAGCCACACCCCAAGCCTTTTTTTGCTTTGGTTTGTTTTTGATAGGTTATTGTGCTTTTGCTTTGTCTGGCCATTACCTCCTCTTTCTGACTTCTGATAGCTGAGATTACAGATATGTACCACTGGCTTTAGTGCATAAAACTTTTAAAAGACACTTTTCTTCACCAAAATGGTTCTTTCCTATCACTGAATATAACAACCCATGTCTATGTCTGTTTATTGATACCCTAAGTTTGGGCTAATTTAGCTGGCATGGTGCCTTAGACAAGAGATAATTTGCTCTGCACACTACCCATAACTGTTTACTAGCTACTTGTCAAAAAATGACAGGTATTTTATATGGAGATTCCCTTTTTGATGTTCTCTGGAAACCTGATGTTTGATATTACAATCTGCCATAAAGAATCGATTCACCTGCTCAGCACCTCTGTCTTCAATATTCTGAGCCACTGTGTTCCTCCTACATGACTATTTACAACTTGTGATCCCTTATTTTTCCTTTGACATACCCCCAAAGTGTTCTCACTTATATTGTTATTGTTACCAAATCTCCCTGACATTGGGAAATGATAATTAGACAATAAAAGTATACACAAAATTGGTTAGAGGTATATTTATTTGATTTTCAAGAAATTACAAAATGCCCAAATGTTTAGCCACTGTATTTTAAAACTGAATGCTATTAATGAAATTATAATTGATGAAATAGGTACCAAGCATTATTTGTGCACTTTAAACTCTGCCTTAATTATTTGAAAAGTATTTAATATGTTAAACACTATATACATACATATAAATATGTGTGCACATATGACACTTTATATATATATATTTACCCATTAAAGAAAACTAAGGACTTATTTACCAATTCATAAGAAGAAAACACTATATTCTCCTTTTATTCCTTTTACAACACTGAAGTTTCTCAAATGTCACTTGCTATTTCTAGCATCTCACGCAGGACAAGAAATCTAGAACTAATGTAAGACCAAGAAACAATAATAGATTTTACATAATACATTGTCATACAGATGATTGGCACATGGCTGGTAACAAATAAATATTAATTGGGTTACTGAAGGAGGCTATCACACCTAGTGAATTCCTCTCCCAAGACTCAAATAAGGAGAAAGCAGGGTTTTTGTTGTGTTTGTGCTCCTATAACTAGTTTCAGTGTTCAGTTATTACAGGGTATAGGGCTACCAGGATTTGGGGTTAAGAGGAAATTTCAGTTCAGCAACTGTAAAGTCAGAGGGGAATCTCCTTCCTTATAAAATCCTCCAAAACTTGCATTTCATGTGCTGTATACAAGTTATATAGGTTTTTCAGACTTTCAGGCTTGTTGAGTTCTACTCTTATATCAGTGTAATCTGTTTCACATAAAGTATATTTTGATAAATATCATTAAAAATTTAAACAAAACAAAAATATAAGTCATACCATGACTGAGTATCTCTACTTCTACTAATAGTCCATGTATGAGCTAAAAATTGAGGGAACAAAGAAAGAGTGAATAGTGTGTTTGGTCCCTGTGAAACTGTCAACACCCTTTTCAGAGACAAGTCACCACTGTAGCTGTACCTGCAAATCATTTGTGAAAGAAAATGTGTGCCTTGATATTTCTAAAAAGTACATAAGAGTTGAGGGTGGAGCATCCAAATCAATCTTGATGTGTTGTCCAGTTATATCTATAACACCTTCCCATGGAGTAAGGAACAGAAATATGGAGCATACAATGGTCATTTATTTGTGGAAAGCTGGAAATAATATACTCTAAAAGAATGGATTCAAAATAATTCCAAAATATGTTTACATATCATAGTAACCTGCCATCAATTAAACAGTAACATAGGCAATAACTACTCCATTATGCATGGCAAGACACAGGAAACATCTTTCTCTATAAAAGACTTTGTCCTAGAAAGAAATAAAAAAGGAAAAGAAGAAGGAAGGAAGGAAGAGGGGGAGGGAGGGAGGGAGAGAGAGAAAGGAAGGAAGGAAGGAAGAAAGAAAGAAAAAGAAATCCACTTACCTATGAAGGAATAAAAACAAAAATAAACATGGGTCACATATTTTGATGATTTACTTCATACCCTGTAATGAGGTCACATTGTATTGAATAAGTTAAATATAGAATGTGCCAGAGCCTTGCAAATAGAAGAAGGCACTCATTTTAAAGGCCCATAAAGGGATCCTAGAACCCTGACATAGAAACAAAATTATCTCAGTTATGAAAGCATTATTTTTCCAGTATATCAGGTATCCATGATATTGTCTGAGGCACGTTAGTGAGATGCTTGATTCTGCATCTCACTGTGGTTTTCCACACCACCGAGGGTGTATAAAAGGCACTTGGCACACAGTGATATCCAGACTCAAGAGACTCAACTCCTCAACTGAACTGTCTACTCCCTACACCATGTGCTACTATGGCAACTACTATGGGGGCCTGGGCTATGGCTATGGTTATGGTGGCCTAGGCTGTGGCTATGGTGGCTATGGTTACAGCTGCTACCACCCACTGTGCTGTGGAAGATACTGGTCCTATGGCTTCTACTGAGGAATTTCCACAGAGGCTTAGCCTATTGAGTATAACCTCCTGCTTTACCAGACAGATCACCAAGTTTCTTCACATGAGAAAATTTTAAGTGCCTTCAAAACTAGTACATATTTAACTAAACAAAAAGAAATGGAATTCATAATGCTACTTAAATTCACAAATTTTGTGAATGATATATATTCTTAAATAAACTCTACTTTGTTGGAAACATTGCTTTCTAACAGTCTGATGAAATTATTTCCACCATTTTGACTTTTTTGTGTAGTTGGGTGATATTAGTCACATTAAATGAGTAGTTGTTTCTTTGGGTATTGGAAAGGACACAGAGAGAGAGGAAAAGAGAGAGAGAGAGAGAGAGAGAGAGAGAGAGAGAGAGTGAGAGAGAGACAGAAAACCATACATCTTTTCTGGTCATTAGGTATCTAAAATGAATAGGAAAAATATTTTTGTACATATTTTTTAATCTCTCCTACCATTTACCATTACTTATGCTCCTCATTATAAGTTTATATAAATGGCTGCTTTCTACAGTGATGTGAAATTCCACATGAGAACATTTAAAATTTTGTACATTGGAATTCTTTGTGCCTTTTGCAATATGGTTGGATTACCTCAGCTACTATTCTGCCTTTGTGATATATTTCAATTAAAAATAGCTTGCCTATAGAATAACTATAGACTTTGTAGTATTGAAAATGTCATCACTCATTATGATATTCTGATCTACTAATACAACAGCCCAGTGGTACTTCAAACTACCAATTATCTATTTAAAAAAATGTATGCAGTATATGAAACATTAGAAATTTATCAAAATCATTATTTATTTACTAAGTAACAAATGAACATTAGGTTACTTTCATTTTTACCCAGAAATCTGGTCTTTACAAATGCATCTATCCATGTGTACTAATTTTCTCTCAAATTGAATTGTTTCCATCATTTAAGTAGTTATATTACCTAATCTGACAAAATCGAATGCAATGAAATGCTGACAGAAAAAATAATGAATGAAGGGTCCAGCATTCTAAAAATGGAGACAGTATGAAAAAGTGATTTGAAATTTGTGTGGTTCCTGTTTCCAGGAGCCAGGCAAGATGGTGCTGAGAGAAAGAGTAATCAGCAGAATTTGGGGTGCTTCCTTTTTCAGTACAGCACACCAAAACTGGAGATCTAATAGGACACAATCCAGTCAAGGATGTGATGGAGGATACGGAGCTTTTCTCAGAGTCAGGTTTCTCCTCACGGTATTTTAAAATTTCAGAAGTTTCGTGGGTCAGTTTCATAAGAAAGAAGCAGAATAATTTGAAAATTACATGGAAATTTCATCCATATCAAATGATAAGAAAATAATCACTAGACTTCAGGACCTAATACAAAGAAGCACCATTAATTGATAGAGACAAAGGTGGAGCCCCTACAAGTTGGGTCAAAAGAGGTTGACAGATTCTTGCCAAAACACAAGGACCTTCATTTTGTGTCAGTTCTTGTTTGGATTACGGTAATCAGAATTTATATTTAGATTAGTTCTTACTTTGTTGGTGAGACAGGCCTAGAAGATCTGGGCTCAAGTTATCCATAGTTTTTGGAACTACAGGCGTGTTCCACCCCACCTGGCTCAATCAGACCTTTTATAATAGCCTAGAAGCAACAATGGCAAAACTCTACAGTGAGTCCTCTGCCTATCCTTCACCTGAACAAACGACCACTCAGATAATATGACTAATATCTCGCAAATACGCAAATAAGCTGAAACGGTGGAAATAATCTAGTCAAACTATGAGAAAGCAATGTTTGTAATGAAATACAGTTTAATAATATATATTATTAACACCATTTGATCACGTTTTATGTAGCATTATAAATACCATTTCTTTTGTTTTAATTCAGTATGTTGTATTTTTAATGACACTTAAAATTTTCTCAAATGTAGAAACTTGGAGATATGTCTGGAAAGCAGGAGGTTATAGCCAATAGGCTAAACAACTGTGGAAATTCCTCAGTAGAAGCCATAGGGCCAGTATCTTCCACAGCACAGTGGGCGGTAACAGTTGTAACCATAGCTACCATAGCCACAGCCATAGCCACCATAGCCACAGCCTAGGCCACCATAGCCATAGCCCAGGCCACCATAGTAGTTGCCATAGTAGCACATGGTATAGGGAGTAGAGTGTTCAGTTGAAGACCAGGAGGTGAGTCTCTTGAGTCTGGATGTCACTGTGTGCCAAGTGCCTTTTATACACCCTCGGTGATGTGGAAAACCACAGGCATTGCAGCACCAAGCATCTCACTAACGTGCCTCAGACAACATCATGAATACCTTCATTTATTGGAAAAACAAGGCTCTCATAACTGCGATTGGATCCATTTATGGTCCTCTAAAATGTAACTCTTGTTTTATTTTCAAGGCTCTGGCTCATTTGATATTTAGATTATTCAACACATGTGACCTCATAACAGGGTATGAAATAAATCATCAAATAGGTAACCCATTTTTCTTTGGGTTTGTTTTTTTCTTTCTATTCCTCTACAGGGGAAAAGGAAAGATTTTTCACTCTCTCTTTCCTTCTCTCTCTTTCTTTCTCAGAATTCTTGTTTATTATCATTATATTATTGCTGTACTGGGGAAACACTGTGAAATTCACAAAAGTTCTTACACTATATCCTAGTTGAATTCAATACCATTCTCCTTTATTTCCCCCCTCCCCAATTCCTGGAATAGTTTCAACATGTCTTATTTTTCCATTTTCATACATGACTATATAGTATTTCTACCATCCATATTTACTCTCCTACACTCTTTCCTCATATCCTCCCTGCTTCTACTGTTACCAACTTGAGGCAGGATCAGTTTTACCTTCCTGTTCCCCTTTTTTGTAAAAAGGCATTTTTGTTTGTTCATGTTAGTATGCAGGGAGTTTCATTCTGACATTTCCATGTCTATAAGTATTATAACCTGAAGTGGTTCAATCTATTTTTCTTCATTCTACTTAGTCCCCTTTTTATGGTGATTTCAATAGGATTACAAATTCTGTATTCATTCTTGTATAGATATACATCAAATATAATCACCTGCTCAACTTTCTTCATTTACTCTTACTCTCCCATTAGTGACCTCCCCTTAGTGTAACCTGTTTTTCATAATATTGCTTATATTTATATTGTGTCTAACTCCCATATATGAGAGAAATATACATCCTTTCTCTTCTGAGTCTGGCTAACATCACTTAACATGATTTCCTTCAACAGTATCATTTTACCTTCAAGCCACATAGTTTCATTCTTCCTTATGCCTAACATAAACTCCATTGTGTGTGTTTATGAGTGTGTATCTGTATTTATATATATACATACACATTTTATAATATATTTATTATGTTTTATTAATCTATTCATCAATTGTAAGCAAATAATCTCTAATTGTATTCTGACTTACATTCCTTCAGGTATGTCCCTTGAAGTAGTATTGCTGAATCTTATGGCAGTTCTTTTTTAGTTTTCAGTAGCCTCCACAATGTTATCCATAGTGGTTGTAGTAATTTAGAGTCTCGCCCACAGTGAATGAGAGCTCCTTTTTCCCCACATCCTTGTCAACATTTGTTGTTTCTTGTGTTCTTGATGATAGCTATTCTAACAGGTGAGGTAGAATTTTAACCTGGTCTTGACTTGAATTTCTTTTTATTTCCATTATTGTTGTGTTCAGCAGGGGACACTGTAGCATTTGCAAAAGATCTTACAGTGTATCAAATGTATCATACTTGAGCTCACCGAATCCACCACTCTCCTTTATCCATACTTCCCATGATTCCTGGAACAGGAATCATTTCAATAGATATCATTTTTGCATTAAAATACATGTTGCACAGTTTTTGCATGATATTCATGCACCTACCACCTTTCCCACCCACCTTGCCCCTCCAGTGGTACCAATCCCCCTCCACCCTGGGCACCTACTATATCACCCCCCTGTTCTCCAACCCTTTTCAGAGACAAGTCACCACTATAGCTGTACCTGCAAATCATTTGTGAGAGAAAATGTGACCTTGATATTTTTAAAAAGTACATAAGAGTTGAGGGTTGAGCATCCAAATCAATCTTGGTGTGTTGTCCAATTATATCTATAACACCTTCCCATGGAGTGGTGACCAGAAATATGGAGCATATATACTTTATCTCCATAAAATAGTCATTTATTTGTGGAAAGCTGGAAATAACATACTCTAAAAGTAGAAATCTAAAATATGATTTTATATCATACTAATTATCCACCAGCTATCCATAACAGAGTCATAACTACTCCGTTCTTCATGAGGAAGACACAGGAAAAATTCCCATTAAAAATTTATTTTGAGAAACAAAGAAAGAAGGAAGGAAGGAAGGAGAGAGAAAGAAAGAAAGAAAGAATGAAAGAAATCCACTTCATAATGAAGGAATAGAAAGAAAACAAAACAAAAACAAAAATGGGTTACCTATTTTGATGATTTACCTCATACCCTGTAATGAGGTCACATGTATTGAATAAGCTAAATATAGAATGAGCCAGAGCCTTGCAAATAGAAAAAGGCATTCATTTTAAAGACCCATAAAGAGATCCTGGAACCCTGACATAGGAAGAAAATTATCTCAGTTATGAGAGCCTTGTTTTTCCAATAAATCAGGTATGCCTGATGTTGTCTGAAGCACGTTAGTGAGATGCTTGGTTTTCCACATCACCGAGGGTGTATAAAAGGCACTTGGCACACAGTGACATCCAGACTCAAGAGACTCACCTCCTGGTCCTCAACTGAACACTCCACTCCCTACACCATGTGCTACTATGGCAACTACTATGGGGGCCTGGGCTGTGGCTATGGTGGTCTAGGCTGTGGCTATGGCTGTGGCTATGGTGGCTATGGTTATGGCTGCTACCACCCACTGTGCTGTGGAAGATACTGGCCCTATGGCTTCTACTGAGGAATTTCCACAGTGGCTTAGCCTATTGGGTATAACCTCCTGCTCTACCAGACAGATCACCAAGTTTCTTCACATGAGAAAATTTTAAGTGCCTTCAAAAATACTACATATTGAACTAAAACAAAAGTAATGGAATTCATAATGCTACCTAAAATGTGATCAAATTTTGTGAATGATATGTATTGTTAAATAAACTATATTTTATTGGAAACATTGCTTTCTAACAGTTTGATGAAATTATTTCCACCATTTTGGCTTTTTTGTGTATTTGTGTGATATTAGTCATATTATGTGAGTGCTTGTTTCTTCAGATGTTGGGAATGACAAAGGGAGAGGGGGAGGGAGGAGGGATATATATATAGAGAGAGAGAGACAGAGAGAGAGAGAGAGAGAGAGAGAGAGAGAGAACCAGACATCTTTTGTGGCCGTTATGTATCTAAATTGAATAGGAAAAAATATTTTTGTGTGTGTCTTTTAATCTCTCCTGCTATGTACCATTACTTATGCTCCTCACTATAAGTCTATAAAATGGCTGCTTTCTACAATGATGCTCAATTTCACATGAGACCATTTAAAATTTTGCATATTGGAATTCTTTGTGGCTTTTGCAATATGGTTAGATTAGTTCAGCTACTATTCTGCCTCTGTGATGAATTTTGAATTAAAAATAGCTTCCTATAGCATAACCATAGGCTTTACAGTATTGAAAATGTCATCACTAATTATGATATTCTGACTTACTAAAACAGCAGCCCAATGGTACTTCAAACTACTAATTTATCTATTTAGAAAAAAATGTATGCTTTATATGAAACATGAGAAATTTATCAAAATCATGATTTATTTGCTAAGTATCAAATGAGCATTAGATTATTTTCGTTTTTACCCTGAATCTGGTCTTTATCAAATGTATATATCCAGGTGTATTAATTGTCTCTCGAGTTAAATTGTTTCCATCATTAAAGTAGTTATATGACTCAAGCTGACACTGTTAAATACAATGAAATGCTGACAGAAAAAAATGAGTGAAGGGGCCAGCGTTCTAAAAATGGAGACAGTATGAAAAAGTGACTTGAAATTATGTGATTCCTGTTTCCAGGAACCAGGCAAGATGCTGCTGAGGGAAAGAGTAAACAGCAGAATTCGGGGTGCTCCTTTTTTCAGGACAGCACACTGCAAGTGGAGACATAGGGTGACGGAATCCTAAGGATGTGATGGAGGATACTGAGCTTATCACAGACCCAGGTTTCTCCTCAAGGTGTTTTACAAACTCTGAAGTTTCATGGGTCAGTTTCATATGAAAGAAGCAGAATAACTTGAAAATTAGAAGGAAATGTCATCCATATCAAAATGATGAAAAAATAATCACTAGACTTCAGGACCTGATACAAAGAAGCACCATTAATTGACAAAGACAAAGGTGGAGCCACTACAAGTTGGGCAAAAAAGGTTGACAGATTCTTGCCAAAACACAAGGACCTTCATTTTGTGTCAGTTCTTGTTTGGATTAGGGTAATTAGAATTTATATTTAGATCAGTTCTTACTTTGTTGGTGAGACAGGCCTAGAACATCTGGGCTCAAGTTATCCATAGTTTTTGGAACTACAGGCGTGTTCCACCCCACCTGGCTCAATCAGACCTTTTATAATAGCCTAGAAACAGTGACAAAACTCTACAGTGAGATACAATATTGTTCTGCACCCTTAATATTTTAACAAAAATGTTCACTTCATGGACACCTATGGAATTATGCTTAAAGTAGTAGATATAAAAGGTACAATACACTCATGTATGGAAATATCACAATGAAATCTCCTGAGTAGCTGGAATTGCAAGCATGTATCACTGTTCCTGGCTTACAAATAAGTTTTTACTTAAAAGTAAATAAATTTATCTCATTTCTCTTTATTGGTAGTATGTCTTATATTGTGTTTAAACATCTTTCAGTAGTCAATGGTCATTAATATAGTTTATCTAAAACTTACATTTTTAAGCTTTTTAATCATGTGTATAATACATTTAAAAGGATTTTTATGGAGTTTTGCACAGGGAATTTAACTATATGGATGACATCACATCTCAACACTGTTTACCACAAAGAGAATTCTCTCCCCTCACAGAACCTGACATCACATTTCTTTTTTTCTGATAGAGTTGTCCCTGTATCCATGGAAGATTAAAGTTCCAGGACCTTTGTGAATA